GGTGGGGCTTCGGGGAAGGGGTGTTCGGTTTTGTGCAGTTAGAAAGTTGACAACCCTACAGGGAGGTCCCATCTCAATGGGCTGCAGCCGGGCTCTGGCAGGGGTGGGCATCCAGCTGCAGAGAGGGCGGGGGGAGAATCGCTCACGGGCAGCGTGAGCCCCCTAGATTTGCCCCCTGTGGCCTGGGGCTCTGTGCTCACAGCCAGGAGAGTCCCCCACCCCTCCACCCCCCCGGGGCCTGTCCTGCAGCCTCGCTCCTGCTGAGGGGAGTCCAGCAGTATCCCTCCTCCCCTGGCGTGGGCCCTGGGCAGCTCCGGCTTGGCGCCCACTGGTGGGCCCAGCCAGGGCCCCCGCGCCCACACACAGTCCCTCAGTTGGAGTCCGGGGCCTCTTTCCAGGGCTCCCTGCCCCCCGGGGTGGGTGGGATGTGTCCAGAGCAAGGACCAGGGGCGGAAGGTTGTTACGGGAACAGGGGATGGTGCAGTAATGGGTGGGAGGCGGGTTGAACCAGGGCCCCCTGCAGCCATGGGCGATCCCAGCCCTATGTCCTGCGAGGGAGGGGACCCCAGGGGCCGGGTGAGAAGCAAAGTACGTTCCCCACCTGGCCCACCGTAGAGGGGGCAGGGGCCAGGCAGATTCCCTGGGCTGGGGGAGCGGAGCCGTGTGGGCCGGGCGCTCCCCAGGGGCTGGGAGCAGAGAGGTCGCAGGGCCGGGTGAGGTGCAGACGGCCGGAGAGAGGGGGCCAGGCAGGGCTCTAATGACCGCGCTCTTGTTACGAACTCAGACCAGGTCAGTGGTGTTTCCCACCGTGTTTAATGATCAGAGCCTCACAGTTCTCTAAAGGAGCCGCTGGCCAGGTGAGCCGCCAGGCAGGGGCCAGCCGATAACAGACAGGGCCGTGCCCTCTGGGGGGCTCCGCACGCGGGGTCGTGACTCTGCGTCTGGCCGGCTCTTGGCAAACTCCGCAGGGGCCTGGCCTGGCTCCAGAGCAGCTAGTGCCCCCTAAACGCAGCCTAGGGGGTGCATTAACAACTGCCAGGCACCTTAGCCTCACAGCAGGCCATGGGTCTGCTCCCCCAACGTAGCCCCCCAAGAAACGCCCGAGCCTGGTGCCTGGGGTTGAGGCCAGCCTGGCAGACACTCGGGCACACGAGATATGCGATCCGTCTCCCGGGGCATCCCTACCGCGTGTGCTTGGCCCAGGCCCTCGCCCATAAAGTGCTTCAAACTCAACCTACTTTCAGTGCTGGCTGCGGACTGACCTGCGAGGCCCCTGACACCCCCTCCACCACCCCCGACACCCAGAACCCCCACCCCGGGCAGCTGCCCCCAGGCCCAATGACAATTGGGTGGAGGGAGGACCTATGTCCTAACTGGGCTCCTGTCACCCACCCCCCCTCCTGATCCAATGTGAGAGAGACCCCACCCCTTTGCGCGTTGTCCGAGGTGGGGGGGGGGCGCCTTTGCCCCCTGTTCTACACCCGGGCGTGCCGTCGTTAAGCCGACCTAATCCCCGGTGTAGACGTGGCTGGGGTGGTGGCAGAATTCTTCCATCAACCTAGCTACTGCCTCTGCGGGGTGGATTAACTACAGAGCTGGAAAAACCTCGTCCTCCAGTGTAGGGTGTGTCTGCACTGCGGACATTGCAGCTGCGGCAGCCTCTGGGGTGCAGACTCGTCCGTAGACTGCCTGGCGCAGGAAATGCAGTGCTGTTATCTAGACCCCTGCTCCAGGTTCCACCTCCTCAATAATAGGGCAGAGAAGAAATGGGAAAGGTCCAGAGACGGGCCAATGAAAGTAGGAAGAGGCACATGGGGGTCTGTCTGTGGGGGGGAGAGGAGAGACGGGCTATGGGGTTTGAAAAGGAGGAGAGAGGTGAGCAGAGCCTGACGCAGAGAAGGCTGGTCAGGCTGCCTGCTTCAGCAGGTATTAGCAACAAATGTAACATGGTAGAGAAAATGCCCTTAGCGGAGTATGATTCACCTGCGGAACTCGCTGGTGCAGGAGATGGAGGAGATAGCACCAACAGTCGCCCCTGTGACTTGTCTACAGTGAAACCAGCTGGAGTGGAAATTCCACGGGCCCTCGGTCCACCTGGAGCTCACTCTGAGCAGATCCCAGCTGGGAGCAGGAGAAATTCTGCCCGTTGGTGCCCTAGGATTGCAGAACCAAGCAGGTTGCCTGCCTTCCTCTGCAGCAGCCATTATCAGCTGGATGGTCCGTCCAGCCGCTGGAGACGGGGTAGGGGGCTGGACGGACCATCAGGGGATGCTGAGCCGAGAGACCACTTGAGAGCACCTCCACGGGGCTCTGACCAGCTCGCCAGGGATGGGGCAGCTCCCCTCAGCTCACCCAGGGCAAGGCTCCCTCCCAGTCCAGCGGGCAGACTGGCTGCCTGGGATGGAGCCCAGTGAGGCTCTCAGTCGGATTTGTCTCTGGTCCCCAGCAGCCAGGAGATGCCCCATTGGAGGGTGGGGTGGCAGCGCCCCCTCCCACGGCTGACCCAAGGGAAGGACCCTAAGCAAGGCAGGGCTGGGAGCGTGGAATGGTGCCTAGCATAGCCCGAGTCCAGGGGAGACAGGGCCAGGGTGGGCGATGGCGTGAAAGGCCGAGTGACAAAGCAAGAGGAAAAGCAAACAAAGCAGCAGCGACCAGGGGCCGCGTGCCCCGGGCCCAGGTCCCCGTGTTTGCAAAGCAATGGCCTGTGATTAGTGGTGAGTCCTGAGGCTCCCACGGCTAGTGCCCAAGGAGAGACCTGGCTCCCAGGGAAGGCAGCGGAGCTCTGTCCTTGGAGGACACCCGCCTTTCTCAAGTCAGCGCCACCCGTGCCCCAGAAACACCCCCCACTGCAAGGCCGGCGGCCCATGGCCAGGGCTCAGCCTGGGGCTAAGGGAGACTGCACCACGCTGCGCAATGTGGGGGAAGGTGGCGCTCGGACCCTGCCCCGGCCAGCAGCACCCACCGTCCTGCTCCAAGCGGCCTGCCGTGCTCCCCGGGATCCCCACGCCCACTGGGGGATGGCGGGGTTCGGGGAGACGCCCTCCTGGTGCTGGGGCGCAGGCTGTCATGTGCAGGCGCGGGGCATGGGGTGCTGCTGGCCGCGGGAGTGGGGAAGGGCCATTGTAAGCCCTGGACGGGGGGTACCGCAGGCCCTGATGCAGCGGCGCTGGGGACTGTGGACCCAGCCGGGCGGCCCCCAGTGCCTTGCCGCCCGTCGCCTGTTGTGCAGGGAAGCTGCTGACTCAGAGGCTGAGCACGGCCAGGGGCTCGGCCCAGCGCTGTCACAAGTCCCCACTGCTGCTTCAGTCAGCAGGACGAGTCACGGCCCGGGTGCCCCTTGGACCCAGGGTCGCCGTCCTGCTCTCTGCTCGGGGGACCAGGCCATGGGCCTGCCAGGGACTCGGTGCCAGGGACATGTCCTCCCCACCCAACCCGAGCCCCCAGCCCCTTGGGGTCAGGCTGGGGCTTGGGGACCCCTCTCCCTGGATCCCCCACCCACACCAGTGACTCCCTCTTGAGGGCTGATGCTTATTCTGTAGCCCTAGATACGCCAGGGGCCTGGGGGACCTATGGCAGCTCTGCCCCCGGGCACCCCTTGTGCCCACGGTGGAACCCACCCACCACGGCGCTGCCCCAGGGCCACAAGCCCCACCCAAGCTCCCGACTCTTAGAAGGGGTTGGGGCATCCCAGAGTTCGCACCGCCGCAGGCCAGGGGCCTCTCTGGCTAGTGCTGCCCCCTGGGGGTGACTCTAGGCAAGGCCCTGGAGCCAGCTGTGCCCCAGTCCTTTCCAATGGCCGCTCGCTCTCGGTCTCTCTCTGGCCTGTGGAGGAACTGGCCCAGCCCCCAGCCCCGGCTCTGCTCTGACCTGGGCTCAGGTGCCTCCCTCGGGGCGGGGAGCTAGTTACCCATTAGCGGGAAGTGGCTGCAGTCTGGCAGCCAGCCCGGCCTCGTGATGGACCCCAGCAGGCCAGGGAAGCAGGCCACGCTGCGGGGGGCATCTGGCAAGGCACAGCTGGGGTCCTGCAGCCTGCATTCTCCTGCATGCCGACCTAAGGGATCCCAAAGCACTTCATGGACTGCAGGCTAAGTCCTGCCCTGGGTTATGCCACTGGGTCCACAGAGACCTCTCCACCCAGCACTGACATGCAGCCACCTCTGGGGTGAAGCACAGCAGCTGCCTGACAGCGTCCAGCAATGCTGCAGCAGAGTTTAGGAGCGGCCGGGAAGGGGGAAGCACAGATCCAATCAACAGAAGGGAATTTGGGGAGGTGGAAAGTAATTCCCAGAGTTGGCACATGCCCAGGACACCCTGAGCATTATGAAAAGGGCATGGGGAATCTTCCTTGACCATGGGGGTCAGGCCTTCAGCTTTACCTCTCCCAATTTGGGGAACGTTTGGCTGCTGGAGTGAGTGGCTGGGCCCCTGGGAAATAGCCCACCCCAAATACCATGGGACCCCTGCCTGCCACATGGCCTCCCACATCCAGATGGGGTGGGGGGTGGGGATATGGGCAGAGACAGCCAATGTCTCCTTCCTCTCCTACATCCTCATTGCCCTTCTTCTGATCCGCAGTGGGGCAGGGTCTGCTCCTCCCCCACTGGCCACACTGCTCTCCTCTTCCCTCAGGACTCTGCATCTCTACCCTCTTGACACCTGCCAGACCGGCTGTGTCCTGCCCCACAACCCCATGCCCTTCCTGTAGGGCACAGCCACTGGCATCCTCTGTGCATGTCTGGCGGGCTGGAAACCCACTGCTCCTCCCCGCGTCTATGCACTGGGCTAGGCCACCCCCTGCAGCCATGGGGTCTGCAAGCTCTTCTCTGGGGGGCAGCTGTCCCCTTGGGCTGGGAGCCCAAGATCCCAGCCGGCGCTGCATGGGACCAGAAGACACAGCAAATGGGGGTTTGGCTCTGGAAGCGCTTTAGTAAAGGCTCCTACACAATGTACGGGGTGGGGTGGCCACCCCCGGCAGCACATGGGGTGAGGTCTTGGCCCGAAGCAATCCAGTCCCACATGCTCGTGCCCCACGGTTGCCCCCTCCTTCAGCCATAGCTGTGGGGGCTGTTGGGGTTCATGGGTGACGAGTCCTGGCGGCCCGACTGGCCCATCAGCTGCCAGAGGCGGTGCCCAAGGTTCTGTACCTGGCAGGTACCCAGGACGCAGCCCACGCGCATCAGGTGGGCGTGGTGGCGGCGCGGGGCCGCGTGGCGCTTGGCACGCCAGGGGCCAGTCAGTGAGCGTTGCGCTCTGCCTTTGGGGCCGCCCAGGGGCTGCGGCAGGGTGGCTGGGGTCCCCCCAGGTTGCTCCCAGTCCAGCTGAGCTCTCGCAGTGCCAACCCAGAGCAGCTCCACCGTCCTCCTCGTCAGGGGCCGATTCCCCAGCGGCGTGGCGGCTCTCCTGTCCGGGGGCTCCCTGCACCAGAAAAGCACAAAGGTCAGGATGACGGCCTGGCTCGGCCTACCTATATCCCCTCAGGTGTGCAAGAGGGTCGGAGCGAGGCTGGTGCATGGGCCCCCGCTCCGGCCCCTCTCTCCCTGCGACTCCAGTGCTCAGCTGCCGTGTAAAACAGGCCAGTCGGTCTGGCAGTATTGGCCTTAAGACGCTCTGAGCGGCAGTGCCTGGGAACCGCCCCTTCCCCATCTCCCAGGCCTGCTGCCGGTCTGTGAATGTCTGTGCAGTACCACTGCGCGAGCCGGATCCCTGCTGGTGGTGACAGCCTGAAAACACGGCCAGGCCGGAGAGGCTGAGGGAGCCCGGGAGCGGAGCCATGGCCTGGAGTTAATAGGCTGAGTGTCGGGGCCGAGTCCCTGATCCGGAAGCCCCGTTGCTTGGTGCAGTTTGGATGAGACTGGACCAAACCTTGGAGACTAGACAGGAGGGGCTGTGGCTGGGACCTCCCTGGCCTCTCTCGTTCTCAGCTGGGCCCAGCGGCATGGCCCATGTCCCAAGGGCTCTGCCTGTCTCGCAGGGGCTCCGGGAGGCACGGCCAGCGGCGCACTGCCTGGCCATAGGGCAAATCCCCTGCCCAGCCCCACTGAGAGATGTTCTGCCTTTGCCCAGGCCGCAGATGCCGCCCACATACTCCCTCCCGCAGCAGAACCCGACTGAGGTCTGGCAGTGACACAACAAGCCCTTTGAGATAGATCCCGCAGTGGACAGCGGCTGCTGGAACCAGCCCCCAGCTTTCCAAGGAGCAGATGAGCCAGCCTGGCCTACAGTGCTCCCCAGCCTACGCGGGCACGTCCTTCGGGGAGGGGGGGGGATTCCAGGCAAAAGGGAGAGAAATCTGCTACATCGAGAAAATGCACGCTGTGAAATTATAGAGCGAACAGCCAGGGCACTGCTGCAAGGAAGCTCACAGCACCAGCAACAGGTACAGACGCGTCAGGGCACTGCTGAGAAGCTCGCAGCGCCGGGACCAGAACTAGCAAGGCACTGCTGCAGGGAAGCTCGCAGCGCCGGGACCAAAACTAGCAGGGCACTGCTGCAGGGAAGCTCCCAGCGCCGGGACCAGACTAGGCCCGGCTGCCGGGCAGGCTGGAAGGAAGGCAGCGGAGAGGTGGAGAGAGGAGGAGGAGGGGAGGGGAGGGAAGGAATCCAGAGCAGGAGGGAGTGGAGCGAACGGGCTGGGGGGGGCAGGGACGCCCTACAGCAGCAGGCACGTGAGACCGCAGCAGTGTGGGAGCCAGCCCAAGGAGCAGCTACCTGCTGCGGCACACGTACTCTCCGGAGTCACTCAGGGCCGGCAGGGAGGTGCACGCGCTGCATCAAAGGCCCTTATCCCACAGACGTGCCAGTTCTGGCTCCTCCAAACAAGCCAAGCCAGAGCCTCGCCTCCGCAGCGTCAGGATCCCACCAGGCGGTTGGGAGCCGCAGGGGAAAGGGCGCCCGCTCTCTGCCTCTGCAAACACCGGCCCGCAGCGGGCGACTCATGCCTGCTGCCTGCCTCTGCCAGGGCCGCCCTGCCACGTACCTGCCCGCCAGGCCCCCGCTCCCCTGGGAGCCACATGCTACGTGCCACACGCAGCATGGAGCCGGGCAGCGCTGGCTGGGCTCGTCCCAGCCTTTACCTCTGGAAAAACTCTCCCCGGCGTCCACCTCTCCCGGGCTCTGGGCCTCCCGAAAACCACAGGCCACAACATGGGGCCCTCCAGCTTCCCCTACGCCCACGGAGCTCCTGAACGCTCCCCCAGCTCCCGCAAAACCCTAATCCCCCCCAACGGCCCTAAAACCCAACCCCTCACCCCAACTCCCCAGCCCTCGGCAGCCTGCCCCACAGGGGAGAGTGTGCCAAAGTGGGGGGCTCCCTCCTGTATGTCCCTGGGGGCCCCAGTGACCACAGCTGCAGCAGGAGATATCTCTTAGGTAGGGGGGTCCTCAGCCCCGGAGTGCTGTGTTGAGCTGAACCAGCCCTGAGCCTTATGGACAGGGTCTGGGGATCTCCAGTGCCCACCGAGGTCAGGCCCTCGCCCCTGGCACTGGCTTAGCTTGGGGAAGCTACGAGTGCGGGCGTGAGCGGGCAGACCTGGGGATTCGGGGGAAGAGCCCACCCCACACCCCATGATCACAGGCCAGGGGGACTGGAGACGGGCTCAGGGAAGCTCACGTCAAACAGGGGAGACGGTGGCAGATCTGCGAGCAGAGCCTGGCTCAGCTGCCTCCCAGGCCAGGGCTTTAACCACAAGGCCAGGCTGTCTGGCTCTTGAACCTTAGTGACACCTGGGCTGGGCCCTGCCCTGCTGCCCTCCCCCATCCCCGCACCACACGGCCCACAGCCAGTTTCAGGGTCACTTCCCCAGAGGAACCTCCCAGCGGGTGCTGACTCAGGGGGCGTGCCAATAGTTCTGCCTTTTCCACAAGGGTGTAGGGTTCCACGTGCAGCCACACCTACATGCACACACCACGTACACCCTCTCGTGCACCCACGCCTGCGTGCACACACCCACGTGCACCCACACCTGCATACACACACCCATGTGCACCCACACCTGCATACACACACCCACGTGCACCCACGCCTACATGCACGCACCATGTGCACCCTCTCAGGCCCCCACCCACCCATGTCTGCATGCACAATCCCTCATGCCAACCTCCATGTGCCCACCCGCCCACTCACATACACCCACACTTACATTCACATCCCCACACTCCAACCTGCCCTGGCCTCATCTGTTCATCCCCATCACCACCACCTCCATGTGTGCCGACACACCCCATAGCACGTGCACACACCCGCCTGTGCACACCCACCCCCTCGCATATGTGCCTCCGCTGCTCCCTCTAACTCCTCTGTACGCACGTTGGCGCCTCGCCTGAGTCTGTGCATCTGGGGAGGAGCATTTCGGAAGGGGGGACATGCTGACTCGCACAGCCCTCCGGGCGTGGTGCGGAGGTGGGCACGGCACACCCCCGGCTCCATCACAGCGTGTCAGGTCAGGGCCGTGCATACAGCGGAAGAGACCCCCCGCCCAGGAGCTGCAGTGTGAGCCCCCTGCCACTGCCGGAGCCCGGAGGGCCCTTTGGCCGAGGGTAGGCGGGGTCAATCCTGAGGCAGAGGCTGTGATATGAGGTGGGGGGGGGAGCAGAGCCCTGGCTCTGGAATGCCAGTCACGGGACGCTCAGACACAGCCCAAGCTGACAGTGTCCAGACGAGAGTGTCAGACAGGCCTTCCCTAGGCTTCCCCCAGCCACGGCCCCCGGGGGCAAGGAACAACCAGACAAATTCCTACAGCCCCGGAGACAGAAACCCTCGCCCTGGGCCAGATCCTCAGCATTGGGCTTCGGCTTCTCCCGGATGCTGCCTGGGGCTTAGACGGCGGCACCTGGCGCCCCGTTGCTGTACGGACAACGCGGGGCACTGGACCATGTCCCCAGCCCACAGGCTCTGCCTGGCACAGCGCCTCCTGCTGCGCAGCACCGTGGCTGCTTGTGCCACCGTCTGATTAATATAAAAAGGAGAAACGCCCTGCGCTGGATTTCCATACGATTCGTCCTGACTGTGGAGTTCCCCTTCTACCCCTGGGCTGGCTTCTCTTCTGCCCTCCCGCCCCAGCCCCACTCCTTGCTCTCCTGGCACTTTGTGACTGTCTAGCCTGGCGGATTAGCTTGGTTAGACTCAAGGGCAAGGGAGCCAGCGCTGCGTGTGGCTGGGAGTCTCTCGTTCCTGTTGCTGTTCGGTGCACGCCGGCTGCGTCAGCGGCCACAGCCAGGTGAGGGAAAGCAGGTTTATTGCTGCCTGTAATTGCTGATGGTTTAGCACGCTGAATGCATGCAGCACCCTAAGCCTCAGCGTGACGCTCACTGCAACCAGAGATGTTGTAACCAGGGCAGGGCCCGGACTGCTGGCCCAGCCCACCTACTCCTCTGAAAAAGGCCTGACTTGCTTTGCCATAGAGAAAGGACTTGTACTGCAAGTGCACCCAGAGCGGGCACTGCCCACCGACAGGCTGAGAACGTGTGTTGCCTCGTGTGTGTGTAGGCTGCAGTGGTCCTGGCTCATGGCACACGCAGGAGCTGTAGCTGCCAGTCCGCCTGTAACCCTGAAAGTCCGCACCTGCCTTTTTGGCCCTGGGGTCCCAGGGCGGTTTGGAACGTCCATCCCCCCTTGCGGCCCCGCATTGCTCCTACGCTGGGCTGGGGGGCAGCAGGTACAGGGCAGCACCTGGCAGCAGGGCCACCCGGGGGGCTCTGGGTGAGGCGACAGTGCCACACTTGCAGGAGAAGCTGGCGGGCAGAGGACGCTGTGCCCCGGCCTGGCGCTCCCTCCCTGTGCAGGATTCACAGCGTTGTCTGCTCCACTGGAGCAGAGCAGGGCAGCGTTTCACTGTCATGCTCCAAACATTCCCACTATGTTCAGAGCCGCCTCCTCCTTGAGAAACTTCCCTTGGCCAGGACCCCTTGTCCTGTTCCTCCTGACTGCACCTGTCCTAGCACCCCCTGTGCTCACACCCCTGCTGGCCCCTTCCGTGGGTCACCTGCCCGACACCCCCCCCTCAGGACACACAGGGCTGGCTCAGCCTTCGCCCCCAGCAGGAGGTCTGCCCCGCCCCATCAGAAACAGACTCTGAGCCAGCTGAAGATGAATCAAGCCAAGGAGCCCAGCCAAGCCCCTCTGCCCTGCAGCCCCTCACCCTCTCCCAGCCGCTCCCCCCAGCCCCGCTAGCCATTATGATCCTAGTACAGGGGTGCAGCCGCAGAGGAACGGGGGGGGTTCACGGAGCGGAGGGAGCAAAAGTGCATTGCTGGGAGCACGTGTGCACGCGCGTGTGAACACAGGGGATGGGGCTGCGGCAGTCGCTCGCCCTCGGGTGGGGTCACCAGACCCCTGCATGCACTGGGGTCCGGCGAGCCGGGACACGGGGGGACAATCTGGAGGGAGGGTTTTTAGGTAGGGAGAAGCGAGGGGAGGTATAAATATACTGCCCCACGGGGACGGATCACTCGATAATTGCCCTGGTCTTTCCCTCTGACACGCCTGGCGCCGGCCACTGTCCGAGACAGGTGCTGGGGCTAGATGGACCATTGGTCTGGCCCTTCTCATGCACACACACTCTACAATGCACTCCCAGCAACCACGCCACCTCGTGGCCAGTTCCATTAATGCATGCTGAATATTCCCCCTGGATCCGAGACAACCCCATCTCTCTGCCCCAAAGTGGGATCGCCCAAAGGAGAGCCCTGGTGGCCCCTCCCCCCACGTCCCTCCCATGAGAGACCCATTCAGACTATTCCTACAAAGCCTGAGTGGAGCAGAACAGAGCAGAGAGTCTGGGTGTGAAGCTAGGGGCCGGGGACCGCTCGCCTGCTGAGCTGAACGGGACAGGCCCATGTTGCCCAGGGAGCTGCCCGGATCCTGGTTTGAATCCCAGCCCACTTTTCTGCCAGAAGGCAGGTATTTCAAGTGAGCCCAGCACAGACAGGCCCCAGCCCCCCAACACACCAGGCTGGGCTGCTGTCCTCTGTGACCAGTACCCCCTGAATCTCCCAGGGGCTGGCACACACCAGCTGTTCGCCCCGCTCATCAACACTAGCAGCTTCTGTTCAGAAAGTGCTTTGAGATCTACTGATGAAAAGCCGTCTGAGAGCTGGCTGTTCCTACGTGAGCGCTCCCAGCTCCTTCATACACAGTCATTTGTTATTTGACCTCTCAACACCTGGGGGAGTTTACTAAGCACCTTTGTCCTATTTCAGGCCTGGGAAAACTGCAGGATGGAGGCATAACAACTTGCTTCAGCTCACCCAGCCAGGGTGTGGCAGAGTCCGGAATAGAACCCAGGAGTCCCAGTCCCAGGATCTAACCACTAGACCATTCTCCCTCCCTCCCCGCCCAGCCACAGAGAACCTGCCAGTCCCCATAAGCGCTGTTGCACCCAACCAGGTAATGAGAACTGCCCATCTTGTCTCTAATATCCCGGGACTCCCACAGCTACAGCCACACAGCCAGGGTGTAATGGCAGCCTGCATCCAGGACACAGGCACACGCCAGTCCCCACCACCAAGCCTCCGTCCGCACACCCCCCCCCCCCCCCAACGCTGACTCCGCAGCGGAGCTGCATGACAAGGCCGCAGTGTCTCTGAAACTCCCCGGCCATGGAGCCAACCTGCTGCAAACACAAAGGCCCTTCTGTTCCAGGGCAGGGGAACCCCTCCTCGCCCCATCCCATGCACCAGCGCTCAGGGCAATCAGGACACGCTGGCTGCAGGTTACAGGGCACGTCCTGGGCTTGCCTAGAACAACACTGAAACCCGGTCACGGTGGGTTTGCTAAGCTAGCCAGGGCCCTGTGCCAAAGGGGATGCCCCCCTGGCCATGCCCAGGCCTTACGAAGGGAGAGCTCCACGGAGCCAGCCCAAAGAAGAGAGAGAGAGAGACCCAGAATGCGCCTGATGACGTTGGTGGGCATCTTCGTAACATCTCCTTGGCTTCTCAGTAACACCGAGGGCCCCATGGAAAGGCCCCACTTGCTACGGCAGCCCCCAGCTCCGGTGTGACAGCCGCCTGAGAGGGAGAGAGGGCAGCCGCGCCTTGTGGCCCCACCTATGCTGCTCCTTCTCTCCTCCCCTCTCCCACGCCTCCCCCAACACAGGCTTGGCTAATCTAGTGTCAGAGCCAAAAGAGAAGGATCTGAACCTCCCCTGATTAAATCCACCTCAGGCAGGGGACCAGGCAGGGGCCAGAACTTTCCCGGACAAGGAGGCACCAATTTTGGGGGCCCAGCTTGGGAGCCCTGGCCCAGATTGTCACACCCACAGCTCCAAGGGGAGACAGAGTCCCATGGCAGCCGCGGGAGCACAGGCCCTCTGGGGATCAGGCCCAAGGGGCAACCTACATCAGTGGCCACTAGCCCTGCTCTGCCTCTCTCCCCCGGGGAGGCTCGGACAGACCCCTGATCTGCAGGGCCGCTGGGTTTGGAGGCTGGCCCCGACTCCCTTGCAGCAGGGGGCGGTGGGGCGATGGGAAGAGGGGCCGAGGCCGGGGATGCAGGAGACGGGCAGCAGCGGTCGGTGCTCACCTGTGTTTAGGCAGCAGCAGGGTGCGCCCCACGGGCAGGGGCAGGGCGCCCGGCAGGTGCAGCAGACACAGCGTCAGGCTGATGCAACCCAGCGCAACCGGAGGCAGAGATTTCATGCCGGGCCGGACAGGGAGCTCCTGGGAGCGGGCGGGGAACCCCGGGTGCCCGGGGACTGCAGGTGAAGCGGCTCCGGAGGCTGGAAAAGGAGAGCGAGAAGCACTCAGCGCGCTGCACAGAGGGGCCCCAGGGCGGGGAGGGGGCACCTCGGCATACGGAGCCGTTGGCACAAACATACGTGGGGAGCCAGTCCCATGGGGGTTCGCTGGACTCCCCGGGCAGCCGGCTCCCTAGAGCCAGACCCTGGAGAGCGCCCGGCTCCCGGAAACCTCCCTTCGCTCGGCCGGGAGCGCGCCGTGCGCCCGCCCCTGGAGCGCTCCGAGTCCTCCGCACCCTCTGCCCCTGGAGCGCTCCGGGTTCCCCGCACCCTCTGCCCCTGGAGCGCGCCGAGCTCCCCTGTCCTGGAGCGCTCCGGGCCCCCCGCGCCCCCTGCCCCTGGAGCGCTCCGAGCTCCCCGCGCCCCCTGTCCCTGGAGCGCTCCGGGCTCCCCGCGCCCCCTGCCCCTGGAGCGCTCTGAGATCCCGTTTTCCTGGAGCGCTCCGGGCTCCTCTGCCCCTGGAGCCTCTTTCCCTAACTCAGCAGAGACCGGGCTGCTGAGAAGTTTCTGATGCCCCCGGGATCCCAGTTCTGGAGCCCCGGTCGGTCCAGTCCCCGATTCTCCGCCAGCTGCCGGATACCCGACGCCTTTCCCAATTCCAGTCCTTATTTCACTGCCCGGGGCGGGCGGTTCTGTACCTGAGTTCTGCTCCGGAGTCCTGGTCCCGGATTCTGCAAGGTGCCTGGGTCTGGCGCCCGAGGAGGGGTCGGTTCTGTGCCCGGTCAGCTGCGTCCCTAAGTCCGTGCGTGGTCTCGGTTCGGTTTTACCGGTGGATTCTGTCTGGTACCTGCTTGGTCCTGCCCTTGATTTCTTGTCCGGGCGCGGCTCCGGGAGGGGCTGTGTTCCGCCCCTAGGTTTTGTCCTGGGTCTCCTGGAGAGATTCGGATTGCCCCAGTATTCGGTGCCTGGTTGGTCCTGTCCCGGGTGTGGTTCGGATCTGCCCCGGGCTTTCTCGTCCTGGTCCCGGTAAGGTTCTGCGCCTGGATTCTGGCCCGAACCGCTGCGGGGGGTGGGAGCGGCTGAGGACCCCCGTCCCGCTGGGCTCAATCTGGCTCGGTCTGTCGGAGTCTGTGTCTCTCGGCCAGGCTCCCAGGTTAAATATTCCCTTGGCGTCCTGTTAGCCGGGAGGAGCTGGGCTGGGCTTCCCGGTCCAGCCCAGCCTCTGCGCCGGGGGAGGGACAGCAGCCCAGCCGGGCCCGGCCCCTGCCTGGAATTCCTGCGGCCCAACCCCTGCCCCGGCCCAGAACTCCTGCCCCGAACCCGCCACAGACCCGCACTGCAAAGCCCGTCCCGTCCCGTCCCCTCCCACCCAGGAACCCCCTGCCCCAGACACAGCCCGGCTGCTCCACACAACGAGAGCAGCCCAGAGACCCCAGCCTTCCTCCTCCCACAGCTAGGACATTGGGGGTGTACAGGGATAGATAGATAGATAGATAGATAGATAGATAGATAGATAGATAGATAGATAGATAGA